AAATCTGAAAGCCTGCTGTAGTCGTTGGTTTTAAAACATTAAAAAAAAATATTTCTAATGGTGATTGAACCATGAAACTTTTTATGTAGCGCAATTATAACCTAAATTAGCTGAAAATAACCCTAGAACCTAGAGGCTACTGTTCCTTTAATCGAAATTTTGTGAGCAGTTAAATTATTTGGCAGTTATTTGTATTTGCTAGCTAGTGAAGTCAAATTTCCACCCGGACATTTGTCACAATTGTTGAAGGTATTGGCTGTAGACCTGAATGTCCCTACCCTCTGACTTCTTTGTATCTCAGCATGTATACATGTGTATATGAAATGTATGTGTACTGCACACTAGTGACATCTACTGGTCGTTAACAATTGTAACTGGTTAATGTATCATGTGGACTCGATTGTGTACCGTATTGATTGACATTTTAACATGAATTTATTGCATTAATATGTGCCACTGTTTTTTACAACTAGTGTGCATTTTGATTACATTCATATTAATTAGTAAGTTGTCAGTTTTCGTAACTTACAACAACCTTTTGAAATTGTGGTGTATGTGTGTGAAGATTGGAAGTCATAAAAATGTCACAATTCATATATAAGTGGCATTTTGAATAAAAATTAATTAGTATTGATTGATTATAAGCTTAATAGGCACATTGATCTGTTTAAAATTTATTATATTTGTTAATTTGTGATCTGCAATATGCTCCTTTCTGCTAGAAACTGTTCTCAGCACTAAGTTGCAATTCTGTATCCCTCAAGGCTTGTGAGGGTCTGTACTACTACTAGTATTGTTAGTTGTTGTAATTGCTACTGTTTATAAGCTGTCATTAAATTTATTAATGATACTTGTTGTTAATAGTTTGTACATCAAGAATTTGGAGTAAAGGTCCAAGTAATACAATTCAACTTCAAATTTATGACAGTGCATTTCATTCAACTAATGAGGCTGCTACAACTACATCAAATTTGCATGTGAAAACAGCTTGTGCACGCCTTATTTTTCAGTTATAATGTAGCATCAAGAATAAAATCATCAGTGGGAAAGTAGTGGTCAAGGGTCAAAATCCAGTTTAATCAAATGAGAAATTGCAGGTGTTTCCCTGCCTGGATGTTTTCTGTCTAGTTGAAAGCCTTACTCTGTCAATCCTCTACTACATTGAAGAACGTATGGTATTCAAAAGATGATCTAAAAATTAAATGCTAAATATAAAACATAAACTCAAATGTTTGTACATATGTAATTCAGATCATGCCCCTTATCAACTCTGGCAGGCAATGTATTTATGCAAAAAAACAGCATGTACGTGCTCTTTGAGATTAGCTTGAAGGCAGACAAAAAACATTTGTGAGTGTGATTCATACCGATATGTATTTAGATAGGTAAGCCCAGGGATTTTTGACTGACTATACCATAGCTGACTGTTTACTAAACTTTAGTGTGTGTGTATGTTTCAGCATAGCATGCACAGACGTTTAGGAAACACATGTCACGCGTTCTTTAGAGACATTAAGGTTTCACAACGTCATAGAAGTTGTATATTTGAGAAGACGTAAACACTTCATTGTCTCTGTCAAATTTAAGTGACTAATTTTTACTTGAGCATATGAAAGTAATCTGAAACGTGAAATTTTATGAATAAATATTTGTATAAATTCCCTAATCAAAGTGTACGAAATGTTGCGTGATTGTTGCAAAATTCTGGTGAGTTTTATGTACGGTATACTACACACAGGAAAAATGTCCCCCTACAACACTTGGGTCTTTTGTAGTTGACTGCATGTGCTAAAATAGCATATGCTGGGGTGTTAAATATTAGATGCGTGATAAATGTTTAATAGAAAAGATATCCATTTGCTACCTCTTTCATTAGCATCTAATTTATTATGCTATGCTTTCCAGATGCATGATAACCATTGTGCTGCACGCATCGCTGCAATAAAGTGACTGAACTCTATATTTTTTGTTGGCTGTACTGAAAAGAATTTTACAATCCATCTAGTTGCTTAGCACCAGGAATTGGATTTTAACAAAGCGATTTCAAATGGTTGGTGCCCACCTTGGCAACAGATACCATGCAGACATACGTCAATAAAGTTATAGCAACAGATCCAGCGGAGCATTTTGTGGCCACCAGCTTTGAAACCTCACCTAGATCAATATCTGTATATCACCTTGGTGCCTGAATTGCCAGCAAAAGGCCTAGCACACTGTTTTGTGGTGTCTGTCTGTCTCTCTCTCTAGATATATATCTTTGTTATTTTCTGAGAGAAAGCTACTAAATTTCAAACTTTTTTCATTATCAGTGTTAGCCAAAGGGCACTAAATCAAAATAAAGACATGTCATTGTGTGAGATTTATCTACAGAGTACACGGAATATCCACTGGTTTATACATTATAATTTTGTTATACTAGTAATTCCTATACTGCGTATTCATATAAATGTTATATGTATGGCCTCAAAAGTAGTGTTTCAAAAACTCAAAAACCAAATTCTAAACAAATGCATCACAACTATGTCACAACAACCGCATCACAACAAACGCATCTAACACTAACGCTATCACAACTGCTAGAGAATTTAAGTTCTTTACATAATACATATTAATACATTTTGCTACTCTGTGATTACAATATCAGACTACGTACAATTCCCATTTGTCTTTCAACATGTATTGTGTTTGTGCAAGTGCAAAGTCATTCAAGTGTATAACGATGCATATTTCACGATTGATTACTTGCTAAATCGCGTGGTTTGTGCACATATGTGTTAAATACTTTAATACATTTAATGTGTCTGTTCTTATCATTATGAAATGGTATTAGTAGTCGTGTGTAGGTACGTTGCAGAATATACATGTATATACAATTTATAACATACCTTTTTCTTATTTAGACGAATGTACATACTACCTGGTAATAAATGTGAGTGAGCTTTATAAACCTTAAACGTCTGCACCAAACCAATCAAATGTTTATATATGAGCTGCATGCATATATGTATTGCAGTAAAGCCTGAGCACATACTCTAGTTGAACCATTCATACGCAAGAGTTATTAAAGATTGTAGATATGTACTAGTTCGATTTTTTTTGTTCCCGTGTGGGCAATAATTTATTGCGTGTATATTGTTACATTACTACGGTCGATAGGGATCCAATGAGGACCTTGCATTTGGGAATATTCACCGTTTGGATGCCTGTGATGTGTCGTGCATTAGCCTTTCATTATTGACTCCAGAGAGTGCATTCGCAGCCGTTTAGCTAAACCCGGCGCTGTGACAATGTTCTCCTCGTTGCAGGCTACAGATTACATTGACAGCATTGTTGGTATGGCAACACAAACATTTGTGTCGGACATGCAAGTGATAAACACGAACGGTGGCGGAGCCGCACAACAGGCTTCAGCCGTGACCAACCTGGTGGCCGTTCAACCTGCGAACCAGCAGCAGCAGCAGCAGTCCACGACGCCTCAGGTAATTCGCTCTGCACGCGTGACTCATCCCCCGCGTTTTTCGTGCCTGCCCGCCGCCCCACATACCTGTGCTGCGTCCTGTCACTAGGTTGCCGCTTTGTTTGCATAGCAACAGCAAATAACCGGGCCCCATTCGCCTGCATGCCTCACTTCTGTTACCACAGTTACAAAGTTGCTTTAGGCCAAGAATGTCTGTGAAGAATACCTCGAGCACGAGAAGTCAAGATATTACCGAGTAAGTAAATCATAAGAAGGAAGTCTTGCAGGCGTTTTTTTCTGGTTAACCGTATGCGCTGTCTGCAGCCAGCAGTACAGGTGTTGAGTGCCGCGGCGGCAGAGCAGTTCTGCATAATTGCTCTGGGAAAATGGAGGTGTGCTACAGAGAGAGCGCGTGTAGTTCAGCTGCAGATGTTTACTCCAGCTGTGACTATGAGCACGAAAAGTTTGTCGAGTGGGTACAGAAAGTAAAGTGTTACGGCCACGATGGCAGGAGCATGATTGACAGTCCACAGGTATCAATTAACAGCTATTATTTTAAGCGTTTAAGTAATTGCGTACTGATCTGTGTGCCGGTTGCCGCGGCTCTGCCGTTTTCAATCAGGGAGTGTGTTTGCTTGATGTAAGTGTGAGAAGAATATGGGCACGTTTACGCGTTAACGTATACATGCGTGTTTGTCTTGTTACGATTTGTTTTAGTTTTACTTTAGGGTGCGTATTAATTAGAAAGAAAGGCAAATCTACACCGTGTACGTCTATCAAGCTCATTATATTGAAGTTCACAATATGTATATATATAGTAATTTAGTTTTTTTGAAATCATTTTGAGTAAATACCATGCAATTTGTATTTTGCTTGATATTAACTTCATAAAATAATGCGGCACAGCGCCAATTAAATATGCTTTCAGCAACTTTGTAAATCCATTTATCGCAGTTAATTGTAAAGCAGTATTATACGAGCACTAAAATTCTAGCACTTAATAAGAATTAGACTACACTAGCAATAATGAGAAAACAGCATGATGCGTTATGCCGAACTTGTGTTATGCCGAACTGTGATGTTAAAGTTTCCAAGAGTTTACCGATTTTCTACCTTGTTTCGCTCTATCTAGTTATGAGGTGGCAACGCGTCGCAGTCTGTCGCGTAACTGTGAAAAAAAGTAACGCGAAACATTCGCGGTAAACCTTCATACCACTCACTCCTCCTGGAGCCTGCACATGTCTGAGTCGAATTCGTGAGATCTAGATGATTGGTTGCAGGCGTAGTATTTGCACCGAGATGACTCCTCCGTCTCACACCGCTTCTTTCTTCTAGCACATGCATTTCATGGCCGATCCTCTTTGTATCCTCGTTATCTTTCATCTCGCAACGCCAAACTTCGATCCTGCGTGTCACTCTCTCGCCGACGTCGCTGAGCGGACATATACGTAGATGTTTGCTGAGGATTGAGGGTGCAGAAATGTAGTAATGGTTTCTATACATCGCCGAAATGTAGGTAGTGGCCCTCTGAGCCTGACGCCCGTTGCCATTGCAAACAAAAGTTGCTTAGACATAGCTAGGATACTAACTAGGATACGGTAGTGATAGCTACAGTAGTTGGCAGTTTTATTGTAAGTTGTTGTTGCCATTTACCACAGGAGCATGACTGCTGCCATAAGGTCGCTAAAATTAGCGGCATAAATAATAAACTCGGCTACCGGTGGACACTGCTATTAAAACTGCATTCATCATTCATTATATAAGGATAATTGTGCGCAGGAAAACCTAAAAGCATCAGCCCGTAGACTATTCTACGTTCATGGTCGGTAGATGGGTTGCATTTTCAGGATGTTTCGGTTGACAGTTGCAGTTGATAATGCCGAGTATCGTCGAGTTGAAGTATGAACAAATATGAGTTGCCTCGAAAAAAATTATTACCTGGCAAATGCGCTGAGAAATCGATTATTTCTAGTGCTATTGAACTTGTCAGCGGCTAGGTTTTGTGTGACGTACCGTTCGGCATATTGCAGCTGTGTGGAGCGCGCATAGGTTTATCTGTGACAAAGCTAGTGATAATGAAACGGGAGAGAAAGACGCATTGTGAAACGGCAATTATAAAACGTTTCGTTTATTTCATATCATATATCGACCGTTTCGGATCCTAATGAAAGGGTTGGGAATACTGTTTGCTTCATTGTTACACACTTACCCTCGCTCGATTATGCCTTTTATCATCCAGATGTTTAGAGGTACACCGCCGTTAATAACTAATTATTAATGCACATTGTATAAGTGGGACAGGGAGCCATTCAGGTGCAAGTTCCTATTAGCCATGTTCGCGTGTCTATTGATTTGTCACGGACGAGTTCCTTCACAGTTTGAGTGGCAGCCATGGATACCAATTCGCGCGGAGGCTGCCTAATTGTTCAGCCATAGATATTTGATGAAGTAGCATTGTTCGATATTTTATGAACAGCTTGCAAGATTAAAAGCCCGGTACCTAGCGACCACCTGTATGTTGTTGCTATTATTAGATGCGGGGCGGGAGGCACTGTGTGTTATTATATGGCCGTTACTGCGTGGCATAAAATCAATAGTGTATAAAGGCACTATAGTTGGGCTGGAACATTTAAGAAGTGGGCACGGGAGTCGGGTGGATTACTTCAATCGGAAATAGATATGTTCCCATACTATGCCAAAGTGTTTAGATATGTCTATTTAAATAAAATATTTTATTTTGAAAAAAAAGAAACTTCTTTTAACCGTGTATATTTGCTTCAGGTGGGTGGTAATTAAGCGGTTGCATTACATGTCGGATGTTGTCCTCTGTTTACGGTAGAACGCTCGCCATTCCCCCATGGGCGGTTAAACTGGTAAAATTCACTCCACAAATGCACGAGCGATTCCCACAGGGCCACTATAGAGCAGTGATTAATAAACTTTGGGGGGACCGGCACACGCGTAATACCGCACTAGTTCTGATCGGCAGCGTGGAATATTTCAGATTCATAGTGTCGGCACTGTGGTAACACTTCATCCGTCAAATCAACACGCGTCTACTCAGGTAATCTCGCCGTGGCATGACAGTTGTGAATCTCTATGGGAAGCTTCGTGTCTGCTTGAGAATCAGTTGTTTTGTTGTTTTCGTTCATTTTGTTGACGTACTGATGCATGTAAGGTATCGTATGGTCGCAAGCACATCGTTTTGAAAATGTTCGGAATGGTTTGCGTGATGAGATTACATTAGATGTGCATGAATATGGTGGGGGTTGGGATGGTGTGTGGCTAGAAGTTAAGGTAATGTATGCATGCATGTATCTAAAATAACAGGACCGTAGTGCATAGTGCATCGAACGTTTGTAGAACATTTGTGAGAAGGCTCTAATCTTCATGCTAATGCTGGAATATCATTTAACGGAGAAGATAGGTTGGGATAAACCCTTATATATTTGTAATCAGCTGCAACGTTATCATAGTTTTACAATATTTCTACAATACAATTTTACATAGTTCTACAATATTTGTTATCTATATGCATGATATTACCTGATATTATGATATACGAAACGAGATACTGATTAAATTTACCCCCGTTGATGCTGCGCTATAAAGTATAATCATTATGGAATTTTTTTCTACGCGCATGTTTCACGTTCTCGAATGCTGCCATTAGACGTCCCAGCATCTGTATTTTTTCCTCATATTATGTGCAATTATCCTCTCACAAGAATTACTTGGTTGCAACTTTCTGCGATGTTCGTCTTTCATGTATTTGCGCTCAACTAAACGTGGTTAACTTGGATCGACTGCGATAGAGATTTAGTGAAAACGTTCGTGCTCAAATTCTGGCTTACTTTGTTCCCCGAGTAAATGTAGTAGATAATGTCAGGATAATAGGATATTAAATGTATCAGATGATAATGTGTGTGAATTAATCTATAATGATAAAAAATGCAGGTCTATAATTTGTTATATGAAGGCATACAGAAATCATACAAGTTAAGTGGCACTGAGTGTACAGGTTTGCAACACTCGCTTTGTGGCCTCTCTGGAAATGTAAGTGGCTGCCTGGCAATGTAAGTGGCTGCCTGGCAATGTAAGTGGCTGTCTGGCAGTGTAAGTGGCTGGCTGGAAATGTGAATGACTGTCTGGCAACGTAAATTGGCCCTTCTGGCAATGAAACATGTCACACACACTTCATAAAATTTAAGGGGATAGAAAGGATTTGTAAAAGTTTGCAATAATTTAAAGGCAACGTAAGGTTTTTTCGTCATGGTCTTGTAACAATGAGAAAAGGACGTAGTTCAATTTATTTTTGGCAAGCTACCGCCTTCGATTTACGCAATCTTTGCACAATTTTAGGAACAATATCATTCAGTTATTTCAATATTAATTGCAAAAATAATATGTGTATATTGGTAAATATTTGTGATGCTTTATAGGTACTATTTTAAATCTCATTCACTGTGAAGATGTGATCCATCCTAACCTATCACAGAGTTGAGTCACCCAAGTTCCTGTGGTAGTATTACTAATAGACATTTTTGTTACCACGTAATAAGAGGACACACGGGTTTACATTGAGCTATTTTAAGTGATCAAGTCTGCCTGTCACAGTCTGTGTAAACCTGATTGTTTTATAAAGTTGCATCACATTTTTGAATGATGATAAAAAGATGTATACGTGAACCATGGATGTAGCTTGATAAATCTACGTAGCTAATAATTTTTGCTATACATTGGCTAAAATTCGCGTTGGTCAAATAATAATATTGTTCAGGATAGTAGTATATATTATATTATTCCTGTTCTTATATAAGTGTGACCAAACGTGCACTTTATGTTCGTATGTTTCATCTTGCACATATACCTGCATCGTTTCAGTGTATTCCTTGCTGTTGCGCATGATGTTTGATGTATATATGGTCTCCAACTATTATAAATAGAGGATAATAATCAACCACTGTTTTGTTGTCACTGCACGGATGTCAGTCTCACGGTTATGCAAATTAGCTTGTGTTTGTTTCATGACAATGGCTTGACAAGTGATAATGTCACGCACAAGGTAGAAAAGTATTCTTAAGAAATTTTTATTGTCTCCTATGTTATTTTTGTAAGCTCCCAACGTGTTTCTAATTTGTAGCTTTATTTAGAAAATTATGCATAGAAGAAAAACGAGATATAAAAAATACGTTGTGATTATTTGTGTCTGTCTAGATACTTTAAAAATCATTTAATTATTTACCTGAGCAGCCATCTATTTGAACAGAATTGCCAAAAAAAATTGTGAAAAGTGAAGTGGAGTTCTCTTTCCTCTCGTCGCCCTTCCTCCTCCCCACTCTGACTCTAGTTCCAGTCACATTCACTGCAATGGCTTTGATGTAATTTACTGGAAATAATTATGGATAAAATACACATGAATGAATTTTTGAATGCAATCTTTCCGTTTATTTCCATTACATTACACGATATCTTTGACTATTTTTTCATCTAAAATGTTCTCCTCACAATAAGAATTTATGTGGGCTGGTTGAACTGCAAGTTGAACTATGAGTCTTATGTGTCTATGTGTGCGTGCGTGCGAGCGTGCGTGCGTGCGTGCTTTTTTTCTGCCTAAACTGTGTCTCTTTCCTACCATAGGCAAATCAAGCCCACAGTCTTCACAGCACAGTTAGCACGCAGGCAAAGATACAGACAGCAACACTACAGCCGAGCGGACAACAAGTGACCATCATCACAGCGGCGCCGCAACCGCACACACAACCCCAGCAGGCTCAGCAGTTTGTCACTGTTGCAGGTGGGTGTCCGACCACACGACCGCCCGCAGTAGATAGTCATTCTACATAGTCGTTCCCCGGTGGTTCTGCGAGCCATGTTTGAACGTCGTATAGTGGCCTATCGGCTGGTAGTTAATATTCTCCCTGCAGGTTTGGAATTGCTTTCTTGTTCGGGTTAGACTTTGAGCATGATATATGCGTTGGTGAGGTGGCGTGTCATTGGCCTTTACTTGGATTGAATGTAAAGCATCTGAGCTCTAGGTGAATTGAAAAGAAATTGCTTCAGCATTAATTATCATTTTGATCGACATCGACTTCTCGATGGTTGTCATTGTTGGCGAGCTTTCTATTGGCAATTGTTATAAATCACTGTCGTCATCTGGACCCGACGTCTTGCTACGTTTAAAACAGAAATTCCAACTTCGACTAAACGTTCACCTTACTGTTTGTCCTAGTTAGAGCAGCATAGGTCTTGCAACTATGACTATGAGTTAATAAGTATTGAAGAATAAGTGCGCGCGTGCTGTAAGTGTGCGCGTGCATGTGCATGTGCACGTATGCGTGTGTATGTGTGTGCGTGCGTGCGTGCGTGCGTGCGTGCGTGCGTGCATGTTGTATATTGGTTGTTGCGTGCGTGTGTGTGTGGCGTGTACACACATATCGCCTCTCTTGCAGACGGCAACAGTGAGAACACGGGTGACACGGTCACCCTGCAGAACGTGAGCACGAGCCAGCCCGCCAACCTGTATCCCCAGGTGCAGCAAGTGCAGTACGTCGAAGCCACCGATCCATCGTACACCGCTGCGAATGGAGAGATGTAAGCTGGGTTAATTAACAGCAACAAGCCCCGTGGGCAGTGTCTGAAGGGCTGATTAACAACTACACGTAGTCAGCTCTTATGCACAGTGGCTGTGCAAACGTGTAGTCTATGTTTGGGTGCTTTCGCGTGTGTAGGTAAAAGTTCTAATTAAGACATTGGTTTTAGGTTGGTGCATTTAGGTTGCTTGCATTGCATTACATTATGGTGCATTGCATTACATTATGGTGCATTGCATTACATTATGGTGCATTGCATTATGGTGTTTTCAGTGTTATAAAATTCTTATTATATGCTTCATACTTGTCTTTTTAATACTTCTCCTATTAGCAGTCACTGATAAAATTATCACTGTCACATATGTCTTTATACGTATTGCATGCTGTAGGTCTTGCATTACATGAGAATTAATATGATGAACATTATATTAGTTTACGTAGCAATTCAGCATGATGATGATAGTAATTACATTTACTGCAATTAGGAAGAATTTTCTGTCTCCTTCACTTTTTTTGATTGACTTCTTAATGCAATTCACATAGGGTATATATGTTGGTCAAACCTTGTGCTAACATTCATGGTATTGATATATTGGAGCAGGATGGTTGGACTAGCACTATAGGAAGTTGATCCATATAATTATCTGGTAGGGCTTCGGCAAAGTTTGTTGACACCATGTTACTGGAAAACATATTAGAAGAGCTAACTCAGTAGCTCCATGACTTGTAGTGTTATCACAGGCCACCTGTTCTATTGTGTCTATCTTGATTTATTTAATAGTGTGAAAACTATAAATTTATTATTTGATAGGCTGATAAACATGAAAAATAATTTATAGTTTTTTACCTACCCAAACAAGCCTAAGAAGACACATTTTTCTACGTCGTCTAAGTAATTCTATAATTGTGTCATATTTCAGGTTCCAAAGAACTAATTTCATTTACTCTAGAAAGTGTGGGCAGCATAATTTCAATATATTCCGTAATTTTAATGCGTAATTGTGAAAAATCTATTGGATTTAAAGTGCAAACATTGCTATAAGATAACAGTGCTAACAGTCTAACGTTGCGTTTCACAGTATATTCTGTACCAGCATTGCCTGTGGTGTAGAATATACAGAGGTATTTCAAGCAGGGTTGCGTAGTTTTACTTTATCCCATGTTATATTATTTGTGGGATTTATTGTGAAAAGCTTAGCAACGTACATAATTCTCACACCCATGATAGCTCATTATGAGTAAATTGCAGTAGGAGTGAGATGACGTTTTAAAAGTTTTCCGTTTATAATTTGAATAGCAGCAGCTAACAGTTTAATTATCAAATGGAGAGTTTATGCAGATTCAGTAATTAGTCTGCGTATTAATAGTCCACTTTTCCGTGATTCAAAGTCAAGGTTGTTTTCATCATCTATAGATGCGTGCTACGCAGTCACTGCTGCGTTCCTGTGATATTGTGAACGTAAGATCTATGCATTTATTAGTTCGTGTTATAAACTAGTTGACTCACTGATGTAGTAAGATGTCATCGCCTTGTGCTGGGCGGCGTGGTTAGTTGGCATTGTGCCACGGTAAACTTGGGTTCGTCAAAGTTTTGTAAGAAGTTTTGTAATTGCGTCGTTCTCTCGCAGGGCTGCGACGTACTACAGTGACTCTACGGGTACGATGTACACGTACACGCCTGTCACCACGGCAACGTACTATGCGACGAACACGCCTGCTGTCACCAACACCCAGGTGTGCACCGTCTCACTTATTCTGTTGACACTCAGTCAGTGTGAATGGTTTACAGGTACACACTGGTTTAATGCGAGTGTGGTGGGCATGGAATGTGACTGCATTACCCCTTTCCCTTTTTTAGCAGTTTGATTACGGCAGTATCTAGTTTTGTGCGGTCTTGCGTAGAAGGCCGATCCTATGTCTTGGCGTACTAACATTGCACATTTACAAACTAATACTAGAAGCTGCCTAAATTGTAGCTATATTAAATATTGGCAACTTTAACATTCTGCACTTTGGTAGAGTTCTATGCATGACGCTGCTATACTCTTTCCATGGGATTGAGTGAATGGGTGGGATTATGAGTGGATTGGTGGGCGGGCATGCATACGTGCATACACGTGTACTTATGTGGTTTAGAAAGCGTGTGTATGTGTGTGTGTGCATGCGTGCATGCGTGCGTGCGCATATGAGTGTGTGCGTGTGTGCGTGTGTGCGTGTGTGCGTGTTTGCGTGTGCGTGTGCATACGCGGGCACGTGCGTGTGTGTGTGCGTGCATGTGTGAGCGTGTGTGTGCGTGTGTATGTGTGTGTGTGTGCGCGCCTGTGTGTGTGCGCGCCTGTGTGTGTGCGTGCATGTATGAGCATGTGTTTGTGTTTGTGTGTGTGTGTGTGTGCGTGTGCGCGTGCGTGTGCGTGTGCGTGTGCGTGTGTGTGTGTGCGTGTGCGTGTGCGTACTCGTTGCCTTAGAATTTCGCTATTTTTGACGGAAGTAACATTGATTCTATCAGCCTAAGAGGAAACTGTTATTCAGAGTTTCAGGCAATAGTTGTTTTATTATGTGCCTGATTGCAGCACTACATATTGGCAAATTTGAAGTTCATGTTTCATTAGCATGCACAAACCATGACCATTTAATCTTGGCTCAATGTCGCTCAGTGATATGAAATGTACGTGTCATGTGTGCGTGTGTGTGTGTGCGTGTGTCACACACGTGCATTTGTGGCTGTGCATTCAGATAACAGCTGTGCAAAGTTCAGTGTTACTAGTACAAGGGCAAACGCTGACGTTGATTGACAGCTTTGCACTGTACTCATTTTACACAAACTTCCTAGCATACCTCCAATTACAAAACCACATAAAAGGAGGTGTGTTTGCGATTGGCATATTTATTTATATTTGATGTATTCTCCACGACAGAAATATTTCCAAGTGTTCCAGACTAAATTCCAAATTAAGGATTGCTGTAGTGTTTTCATGTATTAATATAATTTGCCTCTCTAATTCACCCTCCCTTTCCATACTTCTAAATTTCTTTACGTTATTACTTTATTTTCTCCATCATTACTATTTCACCCCACTTGCCTCGTCGTCTACATCCATTTCATTCTCCATTCTCTCTCGCTCTCTCGCTCTCCTTCTCCTCTCTCTCCCTCTCTCCCTCCCTCACTACCTCTGCCTCTGCCGCATTTTCCTCGTCCATTGTCATTTCTTCCCTGAACTTCTCATCCGCTCCCCTCCCATTCCCCGAGCAATCATGCCTCCATCTGTCATGCCCGTTTCTAGTTTCTGCAGTATTGGTGAACGTATGATTGGCACCTCCCTCGTGTCAACAGGGCTTGCCAAAGTAATACAACGTCACTGTTGCCTTGCAGCAGCAGGTTCCGTTGCCGGTGACGCAGACAGGTTCCGTACAGAGTCCCCAGGTAGTAACATACCAAGGTGGGGGTACGTATCTAGTTCAGGGTGGCTTTATGGACAACCAGGGTCACCCACTGACACATACAACACGAGCCTCACCCACTACCGTAAGTGTCCGAGCACAGGACTCTGCTCACACATTGTTGGTAAGGTCATTTCGTTATGAAGCATGCCAACCTTGTCACGTACATATTAGGCTGTCCGCTTCCGAGTTCCGATTCCAGTGAATGTTGTCGTATATATATATATATATATCCGGGTATCTATAGTGGCACCTGCAATCACCGCGTCGTCTTGCAATGGGCTTTTCCACGGATACGTCTGTCTTCGTCCGTCGGGTATCCGTTATGTCGTATCGGGTTGGACTCCCGTTAGGTGGACAAGAGAGCGTTCGCAAAACTCTGATGCTTCTCGTGTCCACACTCGCACGCTAACTTCACCTAGTTTCTTGTCTGTAACAATTTCGTCGGCGTATTTCTCGCAGCATGTATATACCGGGAGGCGGATTAAAACAAAACTTGTCATTCCCTGGTGAATCTGTATGCGTGGTTTAGGGGTTTCCACACTCTGTGGACGCATATGCGTAACTTTTTTGTTGAAATTATTCGATTTGGTTAAAATGAAAAACCAAATGTTTGTGTGAGGTTTTTACAGTAAGACAATCTTAGTCAGTATTGCGTGATTTCAATTTGTAACTTATGTGAGTCTTGAGTAACTTTTTGAGAAATTCTCCTTTGTGGATTTCTTTCTGTGTGTATCTTGGTTCAGAAGAGAGTTGGCCACTATATAGGCTAGGCTAGGCTAGCTCATTCGAAATTAGGTCTGGGAAATTAAAATATAGGTAATTTTGGTTTTACTGAATTATTGTGGCAAGTTTGGTTGAGACGTTTAATTCCGTGAACTCTCGTACGTACGACGTAGATTTGTTTTAGTCTGAGTGTCGTATTCACTGGTATATGTGTGCTTCTGTAACCGTCAATTAGGAATGTGTAGTTTATGGTGGATGGTTAGTCGGTGTCTAGACAACTTGCAACCGCTATTTGTTGGCTGTAGACAAAAGTTCTCTACGAACTAGCATGCACATGTATGTGGTTACCAGTGTACTGTAAGGGTAGCAGGTATCAATCAGACTGACCTCAACAAACCTGGTCAACCTGTTGATTAGGGAGCAATGCTATTCCATCCCATAATACTCTGGCACTAACTTCTGTGGAACAGCCCATAGACGCGGGCCATCACCAACAATTGAACCTGTATCAGGCATATGCATGTGAACAGCACATATGTAGAAGCATTTCGAAAGTGCATGTATGTTGGTGCTTGGTATTTGTCCTATTTATGCCGTACGCACAAACTCAAATGTGCAAAACACAAAGCTCCACCGTGACTTTCAAATATCCATCAGCATTCTCTGAAATGGAAACGAACACTGTGGAGTGATTTAGTACTGGTTGGCTAGCTTTTGGTGATGGGCCTTGTTATTTGCATTTTAGCCATGTATTTCTTATGCAGTCTAAATTACACTCGCTGCCATACACTCAGTGACGTTCCAAAACGAATGTTCCTGGAAAGCATGTTTTTAAAACATTCATAAAAAATTTCTATAAAATTATTTGGAAACCATTTGAATTCTTTCGTGATATAGAATTTCGCTATTTTTTGACGAAAGTAACATTGATTCTATCAGCCTAAGAGGAAACTGTTATTCAGAGTTTCAGGCAATAGTTGTTTTATTATGTGCCTGATTGCAGCACTACATATTGGCAAATTTGAAGTTCATGTTTCATTAGCATGCACAAACCATGACCATTTAATCTTGGCTCAATGTCGCTCAGTGATATGAAATATGCTTGTGTGTTAAGTTAGAAGGCAGGCATCTTAGCTGCCTTATGTAACAATAGCTATTATTCCCACTGCTGGGTGTTACTAATCTCATAATTAGTTGCATTGTTGATCAGTACTATAAATCTCACTGGTGTGTGGGCAAGATATTCCTAATTTCCATTCCAAAGGGTCCTAAAATAGCTGGCGAATGTTTCTAGACAAAACTAATGTGGTATGGGAAACTAAACACTCTTACATACACTTGGAAACAACATTTTGGGGAATGATCAGTGTATGGCAGCCTTAGGCAAGAATGTATATTTGCAATAATATATAAACTAGCTTTGCTTATAGAAAGCTTGATTTCAAACGAGGAATTTTCAATGCGATATATTTGGTAAAAACCGTCAGTGTTATCGTTCTATTTTGCAACATGTCATAGTATCATAAACTTAAACATATTCCAACTGAGCAATGAAAAAGACAATTGACATCAAGAATGAAGACATTATGTCGTCCGTGTTATACGATTTGCTGGTCAGGATGGCAATTTGTTTGTTTTCTACTCATCAAGATCATTCTCATCATGCCGAACATTCGTCATGTGTTGCAAAGTCTATAGTCTTTTGGCAAAACTGGTGGTAATCAATAATATTCCGTAGTCTGTCTCTCCGGAACAGATACAGTGGTTGTTGGACAACTACGAGACGGCAGAGGGTGTGAGCCTGCCACGCAGCACCCTCTACAACCACTACCTGCGACACTGCTCCCAGAACAAGCTGGACCCGGTCAACGCCGCCTCGTTTGGAAAGCTCATCCGCTCCGTCTTCTTGGGGCTGAGAACGAGGCGACTGGGAACGAGGTTAGACTGAGTTTGATAACTGTGGGGGGGGGGCACTCATGGTGCTGCTGGATCCAACTTGTCTGTTTGTATGTGTAGTTGATACACCTCAAGTCGTCTCTTCATTAGATGCCTTGCCTCACCCTTTTCTTATATGTATGATTCACTGTTTTTTTTTTTGTTTTTTGGTTACTTTATTTTATACTGGACTCAAGGGTTTTAAATCCACATGAGTAGAACCCACTCCAGGAATCTGGCTCGGTCCAGTTTTTGAAAAGGAAAAACTGTGGTTTCTTAAATTTAGTACATGTAGTCTAAATCTAGTTACTAGAGTTATAATAGTAGTATTAAGTACCTAGAACTTATAGTACTATTCACTAGTTCCTATTCGTTACAGGGGAAATTCAAAGTATCACTACTATGGCATACGGATCAAAGCCAGCTCACCGCTAAATGCCTACTCTGACGACGTTGGGTATATGGCGATGCGTCAGCAGCCAGTAAACCAGGGCAAAAGGTAAGACACCAACGCTAACAAATTACTTCGCATCCGCTCGTGATCACCGCTGAGTCGTTGTAGCGTTGCAGTCGCAGGCTTGTGTCAGTGCCTAGCTTCAACTAGAGTAATGTGTGATGGAATGCGTGTGCTCCCGATGATTACCTCAACCGTATCTCTATGCGTCTGTAGGTTCAAGTCGGTGAATGTCAAGTCGGAAGGGCAGGGTGATTCCCAGCAGGGCAGCAGTCAGAGCTATCAGCAGAACTCCGCTGCCATGGGACAGAATGATCAGCACAGGCAGTATCTGGGAGAGGCGAAAAGCGAATTCCCAAACTTCGACTGCATCGACTTTGGCAATTCCGTATTGCCCGAGGAGTCGACCGAAGAAGACCTGAAAAATTTCCAGTGTCTTTTCAAAGAGCACTGTGAGGTATGCTTGTTGTCTATTCGAAGTTTCACGGCTCATGTTTGGAAACGTGAAATGCAATGGAATTATAAACATCCTATGCTGCAAAACAACGTGTAGACATTTCAGTAACGGATGTGCATGTGCTATACATCATATGATATTTAGATAATTATGTTTCTCTACCAAATAGTATTATTTTTAGTTACTGTCATACATGTAATCTTACTGTGCTGAAACTAGTTAGCTTTCACAGTCATTTAGTTCGTTTAGAGTATGCCAACATGCTCACGAGTAGAGCTATTTATGTAGTAAGTACGTACATATTGAACAAGGGGTTCTTTCTCTTGCAGTCTGTGTTGGATGTTGTCTTGAACCTCCAGTTCTCAATGGTCGAATCACTGTGGCAAGGATTCTGGAGAACCGGGCCTGAAATGTAGGTCTTCATCATATGTGTTCCGTATATTCCCATATGCAGTTAAATTTATGGGAAAATACACAATGTATGAGTAATGCATTTAAGGTAAAGTTAGTAATGGGTAGTGATGTCACGATCATCGATTATACTCGATCATCAGTTGAACAGTGGCTCGAACCAAGCGCTTGGTTATCAAAATCCGTAATCGATTTCATCAAAAAAGAAAGAAGAAAAAAATTGAAATAAATGTAAACTTGACAACTTGAACAAGAAAACTTGGAAAAGTGATACCATTACTACTATACAAGTTATCCTTTATTAACATACATGTATTATACACACATTAGTAAACAGTGCAAAACAAACAGTAAACAGGGCTAAACAAGCACATACATGCACACACGTACATGCACACGACGTTACGCACACGCAGGCATTCAACACCCCGAGTAACCGATTGTAACCGATCATCGGTTACTTGGGTCCAACCGATGATCGATTACGTAATTACAACCGATTGACAACACTAGTAATGGGTAACGTAAACCATTGAAAAAATGTTCGAACAGGAAATACAACGAAACAGCGGTCCTACTCAGAAGTTACCGGTTCTGGACTAGGGGACACTGTGCTGTTTCCAACACTGAAAGAGGCAATAGAACGTATATCATCAAATGTAGAGCGTCACAGTGACACACAGTGCACTTACAAGTTTTCGTGTTTCCTGCTCATGATTACGTTTCCTGCTCATGACCATGTGTCCTGCTCATGACCATGTGTCCTGCTCATGACCGTATATCCTGCTCATGACCACGTGTACTGCTCATGACCATGTTTCCTGCTAATGACCATGTGTCTTGCTCGTGCCCATGTTTCCTGCTCATGCCATGTTTCCTGCTCATGACCGTATATCCTGCTCATGACCACGTGTACTGCTCATGACCATGTTTCCTGCTAATGACCGTGTTTCCTGCTCATGCCATGTTTCCTGCTCATGACCATGTTTCCTGCTAATGACCATGTGTCTTGCTCGTGCCCATGTTTCCTGCTCATGACCGTATATCCTGCTCATGACCACGTTTCCCGCTCGCGACCAGTCTCCCGCTCTCGTCCACGTTTCCTGCTTATGACCGCGCTTCCTGCTCGTTACAGGGACAGTGACTTTGAGGAGCAGCTTCCCAAAGACAAGCTGTACGCTCTGTGCAAGTCTGAGGTGATTCAGAAGTACGTGCGCACGTGCGACTACCAGATGTACCAAGCACTCGTGGAAGTGCTCATTCCAGACGTCCTCAGGCCCATTCCAAGTGAGTGTCCAGCGAGAACTTAGCTCGGGGAAGCGGATTCCTGGTTTGCGACGTGCGGTATTGCTACATTAGACGAGTGGAGGAAGATGATAGGTTAGAGTCAGGTGTCTTCAGCAGTTGGTTTTGGTTGAGGCGAGGAGCTGTGACAGTATGGAACCTTGTGGATTGTGTTTGTCAAATTGCAGGCAATTTGTTTCAATCGAGTTCCTTCGCCGAATCGAGTTCCTTCATCGAATTTCCTCACGATAGGGGAAATTGTTCCTCATTGAGCATATTCTAGTATGAAGTATACTCGTGCTATATTATTGTATGAACTCTAGTGTTCACGTAAATTTACTGCATGCTTCTCAGGTACACTTACCCAGGCTATTCGCAATTTTGCCAAGAGTCTAGAAGGCTGGTTGTCGGCTGCCATGCAGGGAGTCCCCGAAGACATGATCAAAGTGAAGGTAAGAGTTGCTGTTGTGTTGCCTACCCGCAAGAAGAAAGCGAAGTTCGTTTGAACATACAGGCTTCGAAATGTCCCAGAGTACATGAATGCGATACTGCCAGGTTTCTGTACAGATTTCGGCATGAGTTCTTCCAACTGAACTGATTGAATCTCATCTTATCTTGGCGAATATAATGGTAGCAGCGCTATGTCTTACGGTGAGAGCGTAGACTAGATATATACTTGTTTATGTGATTGTTTTGTTCATTTTACGTTTCTATATGATTCTGTATTAAAGCATATTTCTTAGATTCCCGAATGAAATCTAAGATTTCTCACTACTAGAAGCCCTGTCAACTCCCAGAAGAAATTTGGAGATAATTCTAAACAGTGCCAACAAGTAGAATTCCCGTGATAACCTTTCTCTATTCTGTGGCGTGTAGGCACCTGGCTGCGGTGTCGCGCGCGCGGTGTAAGTGAGTGTGTTGTGTTGTGTTACAGCTCGCTGCTGTGATGTGTAGGTGCCTGGCTGCAGTGTCGCGCGCGCGGTGTAAGTGAGTGTTGCATCGTTGTGTTGCAGCTCACCGCTGTGATTTGTAGGTGCCTGGCTGCGGTGTCGCGCGTGCGGTGTAAGTGAGTGTTGCATCGTTGTGTTGCAGCTCACCGCTGTGATGTGTAGGTGCCTGGCTGCAGTGTCGCGCGTGCGGTGTAAGTGAGTGTTGCATCGTTGTGTTGCAGCTCACCGCTGTGATGTGTAGGTGCCTGGCTGCGGTGTCGCGCGTGTGGTGTAAGTGAGTGTGTTATGTTGTTGTGTTGCAGCTCGCCGCTGTGAACGCGTTTGCACAGACGTTGAGGCGTTACACGTCGCTGAACCATCTTGCGCAGGCAGCGCGCGCCGTCCTACAAAACTCTTCACAGATATCACAGATGCTGACCGATCTTAACCGCGTCGACTTCAACAACGTACAGGTACGCTCAGGCGTATGTTCGTCGTTACTGCAAACTTATTCGAAAATTGCCAAAACCACCCTTTTTGGGAAGGATTCCGCTAATACAGGTCCCGCTGTGTATTCCGAGTGTTTTACCGTAGGCCTCACGTTCTTCCGAAAAAGTACAAAGTAATTCCGATCACTAAGCAGAGATACGTACGATGTTATGTTTGTTGCGATGGCCATTGTGGAGCGCTACGATTGCTTCACTGGCCTCATCTATCTGCGTGTTCTGTGCGCATGCACGCACGATCAGGTGTATTGTACTCAGCCCGTTTCACGGTAGACTTCACGTTCCTCCTTAGTTTTTTGCGCGCGAGCCTTGCAATTGCTTTACTGGCCCCGTCTCTCCGCGCGTCATGTGCGTGTGCACGCAGGAGCAGGCGTCGTGGGTGTGCCAGTGCGACGAGCAGACGGTCACGCGGCTGGAGCAGGACTTCAAGCTGACGCTGCAGCAGCAGAACTCGCTCGAGCAGTGGGCCATCTGGCTCGAGGGTGTCGTCACGCAAGTGCTGAAGCCACACGAGGGCACGCCGAACTTTGCCAAGGCCGCTCGCCAGTTCCTGCTGAAGTGGTCCTTCTACAGGTAGGGGCGGGGGAGAGTTCACCGCGGGCGGGGGAGGGGGTTGAGCGGTCGTGGTGCGTCGTACATCACTGGAAATATAGATAATGCTTGAAGGCACTGGGGAAAGCAAACTGTCATTTGGAAATGCGCAATATTATCATTGCTATTGTTATTTTTATTATTATTATTATTGTTGTTGGTGTTGTTGTTGTTGTTGTTATTGTTATTATTATTATTATTGTTATTGTTATCTTTATTATTTTTTATTCTTAATATAATGTTGATTATCATCACTATAAATGTAACTATGTGTTCGTGCGTGCGTGTTATAATGTGCGTTTCTTCGCTGCAGCTCGATGGTGATCAGGGACCTGACGCTGCGCTCGGCCGCCAGCTTCGGCTCGTTCCACCTCATCCGGCTGCTCTACGACGAGTACATGTTCTACCTGGTCGAGCATCGCGTTGCCGAGTCGTGCGGAGAGACACCGATCGCTGTCATGGGCGAGGTGAGGAGGGGGAGAAGGACAGGAGGAGGGGGAGGAGGAGGAAGGCGAGGCGGGGGAGAAAGGGGAAGAAAGGAAAAACAGGAGGAGGAGGAGGAGGAAGGAAGAGGAAAATGAATAAGAGGATCAGAAAGAGGAGGAGGGGAGGAGGAGGAAAAATGGAATGAAGAGTAATAAGATGAGAAAGAGGAGGAGAAATATGAGGAGGGGGGAGAGAAGGGGACACAGGAGGATAACATTGAGGAATAAGAGAAACAAGAGGATGAAAGAATGATAGAAAGAAGAGTAATAAAGGGGGAGGATGAGGGGGGGAGGAAACAAGAGGATGAAAGAATGATAGAAAGAAGAGTAATAAAGGGGGAGGATGAGGGGGGGAGAGTAACTTTAGGACAAAGGGCCATAGAAGGTGGACGAGAAGGATAGAACGCAGGGATAGAGTAGAAAATTCAGTAGTAGCAAATAAATGAAGATACTGATGAAAGAGGAGGATGACGATGCGGCTATGATGACGGTGACGATGATGATGTCGCGGTGACGATGACAACGGTGACGTGATTATGTCTACTATGACAACGTGGCTATGAGGATGATGAGTAAATGTCACAAGAGCATCGCCTCGGCAAGCCGCTGTCGCGAACACTTGCATGCTGTCATTCGTGCTAGCACGAGGGAATCTCGTCATGAGCGTGTTACGTATGTTCCGCCTTCGCCGCTATAGAACGGCGGCTGCAAATTCTTGGTGCGTTGAAATCTGTTGAACTTTAATTTTGCTGTTTGCAGTTTGTCGGCATGGGAACCAATAAGTTGAACAAGCTGATGGGAAAAACGCTTACGACTCTAACAAACGCTAGCTCATCATCTGTTGGTTCCCCTTCGACAGCGGTAACATCTGTGACACCAACTAACAACAACTCCTCCCATAAACAGGTACACCTACAAGCTTTTATCATTTATCACTTTGTATGCACATGTGTATATATATATATACA